ACACAAATGAGATAAATTTTTGTTAAAAGTTAAAGTGGACATTTACCCCCTTTCACTGAAAACCATATCAGCATGCAGCTCGGGGAAAATAATTTCCTCCCCCTGAGATGATGTGCATGGTCACATGTTCTAGTCACATGTGACAGAGTTCCAGGAATTAAGGGAGATGGCTTCATCTGCCCTTATTAAAATGGCCATAAAAATGTTATTATGGAGACATTAGGGGTCTCTAGGACCCCTAATGTCACTTGTGGACCCCAAAAGAAGATCTTTTGGGATTTTTGGGCGGACGCGAACGAGCACATATAGGCGATCGGCGGGCTAAGGACCCGCTGATCGCCTATATGTGAAACACCCGGTAACGGTTGTGTTTAATGGTCGGGTCTTTTCTGCCCGTGCGTGCCCGCTAGGCAACCCGCAAATGCAGCAGTGCGGTCAGTCCGTTTTTTTACTACGGGCGGATGGCAAGAGGTTAAAGATATGGGTAAACTTCCTCTTTAAGGTAGTTGAATTTAACTTTTTTTAAGATTTAACTCCTGAATTTAGTGTCATTTTAAGTCTTAAAACCAAAAAAACAGGTTCCTACAAAATAAGTGACACTTTTTATAACAAACGTATAACTCTTATGTAGGGCAGGCCATGCAATAAGAACAATTTCAAATGGAATATTCAGATTCATGCATAAACCCAATCACTTAAAAGAGAACTATGGGGTAAGTGTTTTTCCCCATAGTTCTCTTAAGGGTCACGGGAGGACATATACTGGCGTCCTCCCTTGCCCCAAAGCTCAGTATATCGCGAGCTACAGCTCGCGGCATACTGAGACCGTCGCAGCCGGGACGGATCCTGACAATACTGTCGAGATCCACTCAGCTGCATGAGTGACAGCGGGCTCTGCCTATCTAGAGGCAGAGCCAGCTGTATCCGCCCCCTCCCTTGTCCCTTCCTCCAGTCAGCGCTGGAGGATCGGAGATGGAAGGGGGGAATTCCTGCGGGGGGTGGTGACTGACAGTCACCACTCTCTGCAGGGAGATTATAGGGAAGTAAATGAGCGACGTTATGTTTCATTGTCACACGTTGGCTCCAACTATGAGGATGATGATGATTTTCACTCACTTCATAGTTCTCCTTTAAAAGTAAATTGGTGCAATGTACATCATGTGCCACTGTATCTAGCTAAATTTGGTTGAATTTCTAAGAAAAATTCTCAACTGGGGCCATTCATACCCACAAACCTACAAAAACAATGACAATCTCACTAGTTGTAGGTAGCCTGCGTGTTTGTAATTTGACATTTTTATATAAATATGATAAATTGGAGGTCATTTTCGGATTCAGCGCACCACAAAACATAAAGATTACGTGGAATAACCAAAACAGCAGACCTGTGTTATGATTTATTTTCAGCTGGTTTGCTTATAGCTATCCATAACAGTAAAACAAAGATTATAAATCGCCAAAATGGGCAATCCATTAGGGGTCTGTAATAACAATAACATTGAAGAACTGCTCTCCTAGAACATGTTTAACACTACCGTGCTTTTGTTAGTAATAGAACTTTAATCACACTTGTTTGTGTACAACAACAATAAACAAGGGGTATTGACAACAGCCAAATAATATCTTGCCATCAATTTCTAGCATACCCTCAAACAGTAATGCAATCTAATTGTTAGTTATAGGTAGCACATGGATTTATACAAAAATGTGCCACATTTAGATTTCATCACAAAGAATGCTATAACTGAACTGCCCAAAAACGGTTATCATACTTTCAGTTCAAAGACTTTGCTCGGGTTGTATCTCAACTGCAGCACAAATTATATTATGTGACATTAACCCAGTACATTTTCTGTTATAAAACAATTAAGTATCACTGCTAATAAATTGTAATCACATTAAATAACAAAAATCCACCAAGTTCAAAAGCATGCAAAGTCCACCATCAATAAAAAGCAAACCGAAGAGCAATTTCTCTGCTTTATGGGGAATAGTTGTGATAGAAATACAGGGAGAACCATCTCTGCCTTTTCATCTGGATACTTGTTTCGCTCAAGAGTCTCAGAAAGTTTTAAAGGCAGAAACGTTTCTGATGGTCATGGCAGTTAGCATATTCAAAAGAATAAGTCAGCAACAGCAGATTTCTTTTTAATTTCAAGACAAATTTCCTTTAAAAATAAAGAATGAAAAAAAAGCTTTCAAATATTGCAAGAAGGCTCAGTTTTAAAAGTAGTTTCTTCCTCTGCAGCCTGATGACAGAAACTCTGGGACTTCTAGTCAGATAAAAGAAGTAGGCATTTCAACGTTGTTGGATGCTTTAGATTTGGCAAATCATGTTGAGATGAAGCAGAGCTAAGCTACATGCTTAAAAAAAAAAAAATACTCTATTTCTCAACCTTTTTACACTTCAAGTCTTGGAGAACCCCTATAATATTTTTTTTTGATCTATGGGTCACATTACATTAGCATAAGAGAGTCACAGATATAGTCATGTGAAAAAGAAAGTGCACCCTCTTTGAATTCCATGGTTTTACATAGGGATGCACCGATACCACTTTTTTAAGGCCGAGTACCGATACTTTTTTCCAAGTACTCGCCGATACCAATTACCGATACTTTTTCTTAAAGGGACAGATCACATTTTTTCTAAAGCAATACAAAATCATGATTTTAGGTCAGTTTCTTAATATTATGAAGAACATGAACACTCTGTAGTGTGGCACAGCTATATCCAATTCTGCATACCTGGCTTTATATTATAAGAAAATGTAATAATAATATAAAGCCAGTTATACAGAATTGGCTGTAGCTGTGCCACACTGTGTTCTGGTCTGCAGTCTGGACATGTGCTCATCTATTTTGACCACTAGGGGGATACAAGCCTTAGTTAGCCATGGCATGATAAATATTCATTTCATTATTCAATGTCTTTTTTTTATATTATAACATTTAAGACATTGAATAATGAAATGAATATTTATCATGCCATGGCTAACTAAGGCTTGTATCCCCCTAGTGGTCAAAATAGATGAGCACATGTCCAGACTGCAGACCAGAACACAGTGTGGCACAGCTACAGCCAATTCTGTATAACTGGCTTTATATTATTATTACATTTTCTTATAATATAAAGCCAGGTATGCAGAATTGGCTGAGCCCCATGAGGTGTGTCAGTACTAACCTGCTGTGTCGTCTTCTCCGTCTGCTTCAGCCACTCCGTGCCACAGCCTAGTCATCTGCTCCAGTGGCGTAACCAGAGTTATGGGCGCCCGGGGCAGAAATTGTTTTTCGCCCCCCCATATTATATAAACATCCACTAGAACTGTACCCCCCACCCCCACACATATATATCAGCTAAGGAACTACAAGTCCAAGCATGCCATCATTGTCCCTGTACACCCCCACACACACACACATATCTCCCAGGGAATGGCAATATCTGGTTGTTGTACAGGGGCAATGAGGGCATGCTGGGACTTGTAGTTCCCTAGCTGATATGTTATGAAGCTGTATTCTACCTGAAAGTACTACAATGCCATTATAGAACTAAGAATAGAACATAAAATAAAACTTTTTTTTCTTCTTCTAATACTCACCTGATTCCTGCATCCACCAACAAGCGCAGCCTCCCGTCTCCCATGCTGTTAGAAGTTGCATACAGCGTGTGCTGGTTACTACTTAAACCGACGTGCGCAGTGTGCAGCTTCTGGGAAGATACGCTATTAGCATAGCAAGGAAGGCGGCTGCGGATTTTGCATCACTCCCGCTATGCTAATTCGCTGATTGGCCGATTGGATGATGACAGGCTTCCTCACCAGTCACTCCTGACTGGTGAGGAAGCCTGTCAATCATCCAATCGGCCAATCAGCGGGAGAGGTCAGAATGAAGCAGATGACAGAGGAGGTCGCGGCCATCTTGCTTGATTGAAGACGCGATGGAGGTCCTGTGTGCGGCGGATCCGGGTCCCTGAAGATGGCGGACGCGGCACAGGTACTCGTTTTATGTTTTGGAGTATTTGCACGAGTACTCATGCAAATACTCGGTATCGCGGCCGATACCGATGCTTGTATCGGTGCATCCCTAGTTTTACATATCAGGACATAATAAAATCATCTGGTCCTTAGCAAGTCGTAAGCCCTTGACACACTGCACGCGAAGAAGTGTGGAGTGGCGGCACACGGACCATCACATGCAGTGTGTCTTTTTTTACTTTCATATTCGATCAAGCATGTCATTGTGCAAGAGCTTGTATAGCAGAGCGTGCCGAGATGAAAAATTTCATTTTCAGCCAATCGGCTTGCGCGTATAAACCTGCGCGTCAGGATGCAATGTCCATTGAGTTGTTATGCGTGAGCCGATTGACTGAAGATGCAGTCTTTCATCTGGCTGCGCTGCTCTCACACACTGCATGCAAGCGTCCACGCCTCACAGCTTTGCTTTACTCTGCATGGCTTCGCTGCATGCGAAGCCACTGCATGTGTGTCATGGGCTTTAGATTTAGGTAAATACATCCTCAAATGAGCAACAACACATGACATACACCAAGTCATTTATTTTACAAACAAAGCCAAATGGAGAAGCCATGTGTGAAAAAGTACACCTTCCAACCTCCCTTTATTCAGAAGGTAACCCACCACATCAGAGGACCAACAGGGAGGCAGGAAAAAAAAAAAGGGCTAAACTTTAATTTGACAGGAAAATTAAGACGGCATATCATTTCAATTGCTTATATCTATGGTCACTAACCAGATAGTATCTATTTCACAGAGACCTCTGTATGTATGTATGTGTATATATATATATATATATATTGAATACAGCTGTTTTATGCACACCTTCTGAATAAGTGTAGATACCAGGTTACTTGGTTGTCTCCTATGTTATCTCCTTCCTTACTAGTTTATACCATTATCTCGAAGTGTTTACATTTATTTCAGATATTTCAACAACTGCATGACACTTGTGACTGAAAAAAAAAGTATTTAAAAGTTTTTACTTACATGGCACAAGTAATCTGGAGTTTTGCTGCAGGGCCTGGGTCATATGTCTACTAAGCAGCATAGATGCCATTTTCCTATACTTGATTCACAGACGGCTTGTAAATTGTAGACAAGCACCTTGTGCTTCCTTTACTAAAAAAAAAAAATTAAAAAAAAAAAAAAAAAAAAAAAAGGAATTGCTGACAATAAACTTTATATTTCAGAACAAACATAACTAACCATGGTAAGAAATAAAAAGTATACTGTTACTAGAATAAGCCCATGAGGTACTCAGAAGTAAGCTAACATGAAATATCTAGACATTTCTTGTAACATATTAATTTAATATGGCAGTACATTTACACACAGCAACCAAAATTCAAGTTAAACTACAGTTAGATATGGAAAAAAATTAAAACAGAGAAAGGAAAACTGTACGGAAAGTATACAAAGCGGTCTCTGATTGCATTACCTTCAATACCTTCCAATTCTGATTCTACATCAGTGACTCCATCAGCACCACAACCAGGCATCTAACATTTTCAGCAGTCATGTTAGTTTTAATATTTATTCAAGCAGTACATATTTCCTTTTATTGAGGTACAATAAGGATTAAAACATACCTTACGGTAAAATGCAAGATTTGATTGCAATATCAATCCCCCCTATAAACATTTCCAAGTTTTATAAAGGCAAAAATATACCTGTAAGGATAAAAGAGGAGCAAATACCTACCTAACACATCCTCCAAATTGCAGAGTATTATTTCCTAATAATATTGATTTGATAAACATTTGCACAAATATTGCTCTAATGTAATATTCCGTATTTTGCGGTCTATAAGAAGCTCCGGACGATAGGACGCAGGGCTTCTGTGACAGAAGCTGCAGTTAGTGACCGCTGAGACAGGTGGCGCTGTCTCAGTAATCACACAGAGCAGACGAAGAACAACGTCCTTTGTCTGCTCAAGGGGCTCTATGGTGAGCTCCTATGGGGGAAGAGCGGAGGACCCCTAAAACCACAGCGGGGGGGGGGCAGACACGATCGCCGCCACCGCTCGATTTAATACAAGGGATCTAATTAGGTGCATAGGTGCACTTTAAACATGCAACCGGTAAGTAATAGCCGTTTGTGAAAAGGATTGGGATTTGCTGTATGCCAGACAGGGTGAGGTTGCTTGGAATGCACAGTAAAGAAACTCTGATATGTGCAGGTCATCAGACAGATTGCAAGACGGGGTATATGCAGATTGTATTACATTACTTGCTACTTAGACAATCTTTACTTACGCATACAATATATCTTGACCAATTTCATATACACTATATTGCCAAAAGTATTAGGATGCCTGTTTTTACACGCTCATGAACTTTAATGGCATCCCAGTCTTGGTCCGTAGGGTTCAATATTGGGTTGGCCCACCCTTTGCAGCTATAACAGCTTCAACTCTTCTGGAAAGGCTGTCCACAAGGTTTAGGAGCTTGTCTATAGGAATGTTTGACCATTCTACCAGGAACGCATTTGTGAGGTCAGGTACTGATGTTGGACGAGTGGCCTGGCTCGCAGTCTCCGCTCTAATTCATCCCAAAGGTGTTCTATCGGGTTGAGGTCAGGACTCTGTGCAGGCCCGTCAGTTCCTCCACTCCAGTCACTCGCAGTCATGTTGGAACAGGAAGGGGCCATCCCCAAACTGTTCCCACAAAGTTGGGAGCATGAAATTGTCCGAAATGTCTTGGTATGCTGATGCCTTAAGAGTTCCCTTCACTGGAACTAAGGGGCCAAGCCCAGCCCCACACCATAATCCACCATCCACCAAACTTTATACTTGGCACAATGCAGTCAGGCAAGTACCGCTCTCCTGGCAACCGCCAAACCCAGGCACATCCATCGGATTGCCACACAGAGAAGTATGTCTCCCCTTGTCCAGTGGTGGCGTGCTTTACACCACTGCATCCGACGCTTTGCACTTGGTGATGCAAGGCTTGGATGCAGCTGCTCTGCCATGGAAACCCATTCCGTGAAGCTCTCTACGCACTGTTGTTGTGCCAATCTGAAGGCCAACAAAGTTTGGAGGTCTGTAGCTATTGACTCTGCAGTTGGCGACTTCTGCGCACTGTGCGCTTCAGCATGCGCTGACCCCGCTCTGTCATTTTATGTGGCCTACCACTTAGTGGCTGAGTTGCTGTTGATCCCAGTTGCTACCACTTTGTTGCAATACCATTAACAGTTGACCGTGGAATATTTAGTAGCAAGGACATTTCATAGATGGACTTATTGCACAGGTGGCAACCTATCACGGTACCACGCTTAAATTCACTGAGCTCCTGAGAGCGGCACATTCTTTCACAAATGTTTGTAGAAGCAGTCTGCATGCCTGATTTTGTCACATGTAGGCAGACACTAAAAATGTCCAAATATTTTAGATGGATGTGCAATATGGGATTGAAGGATTCCAAATGCCACTGGACCTTTCAATCAACTGGAGAAAAACTGCTATAGAACAATCAGCTTCGTACAATAACATACAATATCAATTAAATGCCATCCCTGCTATGCAGGTTTAATAACTATATAATATATAAACAAGATAACCCAAAACCAAGAATATCACAACTGTAAAAACAGCAGCGAGTTATATGACCTGCAGAACACCATTAATCTTAATCATATCTGACAAAAGTCCATGCGAAATAATCTCTAGAACAATCACAACTTCTGCTTACATCATGGAGGTTGCAGCTTTTTTTTTGTATTCAGTTTGGGGAATCAGTTTCAAGGCTATTTCAAGTACAAATAAAAATTGTGCACAAATGTAGCAGATAGTGGGAAACATATTGCAGCCTCCAATCCACAAAGGTGATAGAAGAATGCATTTTTGTAAATGTATATTACTTTGTTGTAAGAGAATATGACCTGAAAAAAAACAGAACTTTGATATAAAGTTGGTAGTAATTGAGCCAAAGGAAAGATACACCATAACACTGATTCACTATAGTTTATTATGCACAATAGGGATCGGCAACCATGCATTTTTTTTTCTTTCAGCGACACCCGCTGCAGTTGGCTGCCACCACTCCTGCACTGGCTAACTCTGGCTAAGCCTTGACCATGCTCAAAGCATGCTGGTGGACAACACTATGCCAACCAATATGCAGCAGGGTGGCCATTGAAATGTGGGAGCCACAGAGAAGTCAAAAAGGTGTTGGTGGTTTCCTACATTTATCCAGCCTGAGCTAGAATTTTTTTTTTTTTTATAGGGTTTGTGGCTGATTTGAGTTCTGAAGGTGCATGGATAGGGACTAATCTGAGCTCTGAAGGTGCATGCATTGGGGCTGATCTAAGATCCATGCACTGGGGTTGATCTGAGGTCTGAAGATGCATGCATTGAGGCTAACCTAAGGTCTGAAGGTGCATTCATTGGGGATGATCTAAGGCAGGGGTAGCCAAACTCCGACCCTCCAGCTGTGGTGAAACTACCAATCCCATGATGCATCTCTCTCTGGAAGTCATGTCTGTAGCTGTGAGAATCTTGCAATTCCCTCATGGGATTTGTAGTTCCACCACAGCTGGAGGACCGGAGTTTGGCTATCCATGATCTAAGGTATAAACATCCATGCACTGGGGCTGATTTGAGGTCTGAAGGAGAATTTATTGAGTCTGATCTGAGGTCTGAAGGTGCATACATTGAGGCTAATACAAGGTCTGAAAGTGCATTCATTGGGGCTGATCTAAGGTCTGAAGATCCATGCACTGGGGGTGATATGAGGTCTGAAGGAGAATTGATGGATCTGAAGTCTGAAGGTGCATGCATTACAGATGATTTACTGCAGCTCCGTACACCTATTCCATCATTGACCTCGATTGTCGGCGGGCCAGCAACGAGTGAGGGAGATCGCGTCGAGGAGGTGAGCAGCGTGTGCTTTAGGCCGCGTGTAGAGCCCCGAACAGGGAAATCAATCGATAGCCGACGAATCGACGATCGAAAACGTTGGTAACGTTTTCAATCGTCGATTTTAATCGACTAAATCGATTAACTGTTGCAGCTCTAATTTGAGCCCTGAAGGTGCATGTGTTGTGGGTGATCTGAGGTCTAAATATAAATATGTTTTATGTGTGCACCAGTAATAATACAGTTTCACTTGCCATTAGAAGTGCAAATATAAATGCAAAAACTGAAAACTATATGATTATGGCACGTTATTGTTTACAGACACACCGGTTGTGTAATGTTTTAAACATTACAGTGTGCAAAAGGTTGCTCCCCCTCATTTACAGTAGGATAGATAATGAAAGGCTCAGATAAGTTTATACTGTAACAGAGTGACACAAAAATGCTAATTTAGATACTGTATGTGTGTCCTTGTGTGCTCTAGTTTTTAATAGTACCTGTACCCCTGTATGTTCTGGTCTCTGAGGGAGTTATCCAAATGATTTTTGAATGATTCAAATACTCTCTGCTGATACCACTGCTTGTGGAAGACAGTTCCAAAATGTAATCGCTCTAACTGAAAAGAAGCCCCTACGTCCTTTGTGGTTAAATCTTTTCTCCACCAATTTTAGGTGGTGGCCTCTAGTCTTTTTTAGGGCGTTTACAGTAAAACGTTTATTGCTGATGTTGCCATCTCCACTAAACATTTTGTACACCAAAATCATGTCCCCTCTTAATCACCTCACTTTCATCATGAACACGTTTAAATTTAGCAACCTTGTCTCATAGCTTTGGTCCTTCAGCCCCTTAATTAGTTTTGTTGCCCTTCTCTGGACCCTCTCCAGCAAAAGGACATCCGTTCTGTGGATTGGTGACCAAAATGAAACCGCATACTCAAGATAAGGCCGAACCAGTGATCTATAAATTGGCAAAATGATTGCCCAGTCTCGAAAATACATTCCCTTTTTAATGCATGACAGTACTTTGCTAGCATTGTTAGCTGCAGCCTGGCATTGCATGCTATTTTTCAATCTGTAGTCCCCAAAATATTTTTCCATTTCTGACTTCCCTAGTGGAGTACCCATTAATGTGTATTCTGCTTGCCTGTTTTTAACCACAAAATGCATTACTTTACATTTTTCAACATTAAACCTCATCTGCCATGAAGTTGTCCATTCCCCTACTTTATTCAGGTCCTCCTGTAATGTTATAATGTCTAAACTCG